CCCCTTTCCGCCTTGGACCATAAGGACGGAAGCACCCTTGCCCTTAGTAAGGTTCTCCTCTGCAGTCTGGAGCATTTTAAGAAGCTCCGGAAGGGGTTTGTCAAGATCATGCATCATGTAGTTCATGACAAAACCCTTATACAGCTCAGGGAGCGACTGCAGGATCAGGTCCGTTGCCAGCTCCTTCTGCAAGGAGAACCCGAGTTTCTCTAGATTGGTTATGTAACCAATCATTTTGAGAACGTGTGGACCAACCGGGTTCCCTGAAGAGAACTTGCAACTAAAGAGAGCCTTACTCACAAGAAAACGTTCATGCCTGGATTGCCCCTGGTATAGCTGCTGCAAGGCCACGATCATCTCGTAGGCCTTCATGTCCTCGTACTGTTTTTGCAGCTCGGTTATCATGGTTGCCAGCATGACAAAGCTAACCTGGTTACCATCCTTAACGTGTTTCTCGTAGGCATCTTTGACCGCTTTCGGGGCGTTAGCGGGAGGGGCAGGAGGAATGGGCTTTTCGAGCACATACTCTTTCTCATCCATGCGGAGAACAATGGAGAGATTGCGTTGCCAGTCAACAAAGTTTGTTTCGTTCAATTTATCTTTATCCAGAATGGAACGCAAGGCGAGGTTGTTTGTGTTGTTGTTTGCCATCTACAGAATTTTGCGAAGATAGTTATTATCATGAATTAAGTATCTAATAGGTCTTTATTAAATACTCTCCCACTATTTCTAACAAGTCAACTACCCTCAGGTACAGAACCTATTGACTTGGGGTTTCTATTTGAAGAATACCCTAGCGGGCCAAGATCCATATTTTACTTAACTATAGTTGTGCTTTGCATCTTGCCCTACAGTCAAGTTATTTAGGTAGGAATTCATTCCAATTGCAATTGTTATTACAACTCTTGGTTTGGTGGATTTTTTTAAATAAAATTCGTAATTGGGCCAGATCCATATTTCATTTAACTATAGTTGTGCTTTGCATCTTGCCCTACAGTTAAATTATTTCTGGTAGGAATAAATTCCAATTGTAACAATTTACAACTCTGGTTGGATGATCTGATTTTATTTATTGATCCTACCGCAGTGCCCTAAGTCTCTCATCCTTATGACCAAGACTTAGTTAAGACTATCCCGGGACGAGTCAGTACCCTAGTTACGGGTTTCGCGCCTAACCAACGTAAACCGGGCGTCTCACTTGGGTGAGTCCGTTACCGATCTTGCCTATGGCATACACCGCGCGTATGCACTAGTGAAAATCACATACATGCATACATTCAATCATACGTCACATGCATAATAAGTAAACGTGAAATGATTGTGGCTCCTAAAGAAAAACAAACGATAGCGCCTTGATCAAGAGATCTCTATCTCCGGCCCATCACGTCTTCCTTAGGATTCTCTATCACGAATAGACTTCGTCTTCTTATCTTATAATTTTCGAGAGAAAAGAATATTTGAGGTAAAGAAGAGAATTACATCCAGAGTATAGAGATGAGGCACGACACGCAGGCCGTATTTAAAATTACAACAAATATAACTAAGCCACAATCATCCACCATGCAATAATACATACAAGCATCACATGCATCACATCATACATATTAAAGCATACACTGGGCGAACCGCGCTCGCCCCAGACCTAGTTTATTCTATTCTACGGAATAAACTATCAACAATAAATTAATTAAACTAGCAAGTAATTTAATTAAAAATCATAAAACACTTTAAATTTCCAAAATGTTAGAAATTTGATTTTCTAAATTCCAGAAAATAAAATATTTTATATTTACCGTATATATATATATATATTTAAATTCGAAAAAGGGCTTTTATTTCGAATTAAATATATATATGTTTTCTAAACTAGCAAATAATTATTGGAGACTCCCAGTAAACTTTATTAATCTGGAAATCCTAAAATTCAAGAATGAATAAAATTTAAAATTTTGAAAACCATTTTTCAAAGCTGGAAAACCAAAATTATATTGTGAAAATATATTTCGAAATTCCAAAAATATCAAAATTTATTTTTAAAGTAAAAAATAAGTTCCAGAATCAGAATATGATTTTTCTAGAATTTAAAATATTAAGTTTGCAATTTAAAATAATTAAAAATCGGACTAGTGAATAGTACCGATCCAATTACTTCAAAAATACAAAATAAATACTTTTATGTGTTTACAAATTATGAAAATTTTTATACAAGCTTAAAGTTTCTGGTCGCAACTTATTATGAATTAAAATTAATTTTTGATCGTCAAAAATAAGTTTTCCTATTTTCTATTCAATAAACGAATTTAAAAATTGAAAAATAGGAAATTAATTCCAAAAATCGATTTTAAAATTTCTGAGTTATATTGACATGTCAAATACTTCCCAGAAAATATAAAATCTAATTTTCATAAATATTAAGTATTAATGGCACAAATAACAAGTATTCTACACATAAACTACTTAATAAGAATAATATAAAATACCCCAAACAGTAATTCCGAAAATTACTAAACAAAATTATATTAGGTCCAGTATCTAAATATGGCCACCTAATTAAATTTTTAATGGGATAAATTTTTGTCTCCAAAATTTATTGACTAATCTACAAAGACAATAACGGTAAAAACTACTAAACTAGTAACTTCGTAAGCCGGCTCCGATACCACTGTTAGGAAACGAGGCTTGGATAACGCAGCGGAAAACAAAAATTTATAGTCCAAAACTCGATTCCACCCAAGAACAACTTACGTAAATTACTAGCTATAGTAAGAAATTTACCTTAACGGTGAAAACGGAGAACGGAGGAACGGTCGGGGATGGTTTTGAGGAGATGAACGTAGCGCCAAATGTATGAAGCCTCCAACGTATCCACACAAACTTGCTCCGGAGTCCAAGATTAAACTTGTGCTAGCAAGTTTAATATATGATAGTAAAAACTATAATAATACTACTTTGGGAGTAATAAATATATAGTAAAATATTTATCTTATAAATATTTCTTTATAATATTTTGTGTATATTTCTAACACTTTAGAAAAATAACTTTGAAAACAAAATAGGATTTTTCTTCTCTCTTCCTTGTGATGGCCGAATATTACCACTAAAATGGTGTGGGATTTATTTCATTTTATAATTAATGTAAGATGCCATTAAGCTTCCTTGAGACATTAAATTGTGATAATGAATTAATCAAAATGCAATGTCTCTAACCACCATAACAAAACAAAATAGAATCCCTACATCAAATAATAATCAAATATCTCAATTTGACATTAAAAATACTTTATGTAAAAAAAATCAAATGGTCTTGGATTTTTCCTCTTAAAATTTTCGGTCATCCCATATTTGAAATATATCATATTTTATTTTTGACATCAATAATTATCATATAATTAAAATGATGAAAAAAAAATAATATATATATATATATACACACATTCGGCGCTACATATATATATATATATAATAAAATTTGTTTTGTCAAAATATAATTATCATATAATTAAAATGACACAAACAAAATATAATTTTAAAATACATATGTATTTTAAAAATACATACATACATACATACATACATACATACATACATACATATATATATATATATATATATATATATATATATATATATATATATATATATATATATATATATATATGACGAAAAATTGTTTTTATTAATGAAATCTGAAAGACGGTACATGCTCATTTTTCAGAGCAGCAATTACATTTGAGGTACAGGAAGTAAGGGTACAATATTCAATGAATTTGGCATCCTAGGTTTTATCCTCTTTGGCTAGGAGATCTGCAGCCCGGTTGCCTTCCCGTAGAATGTGTGAAGTGCCAATTTGATTATCTTCAATGATTTTACGTAAGACATCGATTCCAAACGGGGATCCATCGGGAGTAGAGTATGTGCTTAAGTGCCTAATGATGTCTAGGGCATCTGTCTCATAGATAAGTCTGGAGTGTACCTTGAGTGCCTAGCTGATCGCCTCGATTCCAGCCGCAACTTCTGCTTGAAAAGGAGTGCGTGATGCCAGGCTAAAAGTAGCTGCCCTAACAAATCTTCCATTCTCATCCCGCAATATGGCTGCCCCTCGTTGGTTAGATATAGTGAATGATGCATCCACATTAAGCTTGAGCCTGCCGGTTGGAGGAGCCATCCATTTGATTATGCGCACCTGCTTTTCTTTCGTAAACTGTGGGATAATTTTCATGGTAAACAGCCATGCATCATGAGTCTGAATTTTGTTTGGTGTTTTGACCAGTAGCCATTGCCGAATGTAGGTGGAGATCTTGTCAATCAGCTTATATGCATTTACTCGGTGTATCTCACCATGAATGATATCATTAAGCTCTTTCCAAATATGCCAGCATATGATAGAAGGAATATGTTTTCTAAGAAAACCATATATATTATTGTTTCCTCTCAACCACCAATTCATGAGATGTTGGTTTATGGTAGGAGAGGAGGAGTGAGTAAAGCCAAGACACCTGGAGAAATGCTCCCAAACCATGGTAATATTTGGACAATCAATGAGACAATGCTTAATGGTGTAGTTGGCGTGCATGCATAAAGGGCAAACCGAGGGGAGCTGAAAGCCTAGTTTTTGAAGATTGTCTGGCGTAGATAGAGATCGTGTATAAATCTTCCACATAAAGATGCTAACTTTAGGGTTTTGTNAAGGGAGCTTGCAAGGTCATCAACTCTTGTGATTCTCTTCCAAATTGAGGAGTCAATCAAGTGAGCTTCCATGTCACCTTCTCGCCAGTATTTAGCCCTCATAAATCTGGCCCATATGCTATTCTCATGATGCACCTTCCACCATAGTTTGAGGGAGAAAGCAGCTTCTAGGGTTTTGAGTCTTCTAGTCCCAATGCCCCCTTCTTCTTTAGGGAGACAAAGATCCTCCCACTTCGTCCAGTGATGTTTGGTCCCACCTCCCCACCAAAAATGTGCCATCTTCTGTTCTAGCATGTTACAAATGGATGTGGGAATGGTGTTGGTACCAAGGAAGTAGTTAGGAATGGTGTTCAGGACGTGGTTGATGAGAACTAGTCTTCCAGCATGATCAAGGCTCCTCTGGTACCATCCATTCAGTTTGCTGTCAAAGGATTGAATAAGGCCCGCACAGTGACCTGCCCTTGTGATTCCAAGATCAATAGGAGTGCCAAGGTGGATGAACGGAAACTTTTTATGAGACATATTCATGATTTTTTCCAGCTTTGTGATCTGCAAAGTGTTAACTTTTTTCCTACCATAAAGCTGCTCTTATGATAGTTAATGGTTTGACCTGAGACAAGTTGATATGTATTGAGGAATTTCATCAAATTGGAAATAGACCTGAAATCACCAGAGGAGAAAATAATCATGTCATCAGCGTAAGATAAGTGAGTGATTGGGATGGAGTGCCTCCCACAATTAAACCTGTCCACAACCCTCTTAAGGAATAGGTTGTTGAGATTTCTGGAGAATCCTTCATTAGCAATGATGAATAGAAAAGGAGACAAAGGGTCACCCTGCTTGATGCCCCTTGATTGGCCAAAAAAACCACATGGTTTACCATTGAGGAGAATTGAGTATTTGGAGGACACCAGGAGGTTCTCAATCATGTGGATGAACTGTGGGCAGAATCCAAATCTCTGAAGGATGTCTAGAAGATAGGACCACTTCACTTTGTCAAAGGCTTTGGAAAGGTCCAATTTAATAATTAGATTTCCCCCTTTAGTTTTCTTGTTGATGTTATGGACCAGCTCCTTGGTAATGAGAATTTGATCCAACATTTCTCTCCCAGGCACATATGCTGCTTGTTCTTCAGAGATAATTTCTGGAAGAATCCTGCCCAACCTTTTAGCAATGCACCTAGTAGCAATTTTGGAAGCTATAGTGGAAAGACAAATAGGTCTAAAGTAATTTAATTTGTTGGCGTTCACAACTTTAGGTAGCAAGCATATGTTAGAACTGGCAGCTGCTGTAGTCATGGGGATTCCAAGGAATACTTCTTGACAGGCAGAGGTAACATCTCGTTTAACAATATCCCAGCATCCCTTGAAGAATGTTACATTGAATCCATCCGGTCCAGCGCATGAGTTTGCATCCATTCCCCACAGGATGTCTTTGAGTTCCTGCTCTGAAGGAAGTGCCATCAATTTGGTGTTTTGTTCATTGTTGATCAAGTGGGGAATGGAAGCCATAAAGTCATTATACATGTCCTGTGTTGCTGCTTGCTCTGTGCCATTGAAAAGGGTGGAAAAATGATGTACCACCATGTCTTCTAAAGAGCATGTGTCTTGAATAGCTTCTCCGTTTTCATTCATCAAGACATTAATCCTCTGCTTTCTTCTTTTTTCCTTCACCAGACCGTGAAAGAATTTGGTGTTGGCATCTCCTTCTTTGAACCACTTCAAGCTGCATTTTTGTTTCCAGAAGTGGTACTCCCTGTTGGAAACGTCTGCAAGGACAGCCTGTTTTTGGTTGAGAAGGATCTTATTAATCGTAGTGGGATTCGTGTGAACAACCTAAAAAATGGGTCCCTAAACCTAATGAACAAGCTAAAAGTCCAGATGTAAGAAACAAAGGTACGGATTCCACTTTAGTGCAGGACATTCAAGAGCATAATTTCAAGTTGGGTCCCTATATATATATATATATATATATATATATATATATATATATATATATATATATATATATATATATATATATATATATATATATATATATATATATATATATATATATATATATATATATATATATATATATATATATATATATATATATATACACGGCTTGAACATAACCTATATATCCACCCTCTCTGGATCTGTTAATGACCCATGGCTCCTAGGAGGGGATTTTAATGCTATCAGCTCACTCTCTCATCACAAGGGTAAAAGCACACCCTGCATGGTTAGTATTATGGAATTTGACACTTGTATTACTCAAAATGGTCTGATTGAACCCCCCTTTTCGGGCTCTCTATTTACTTGGCATGGGTCTAGAAGCCTGGGAAAAATTTGGAGGAGATTAGACAGACTTTTCCTCAACTCCCACCTGGACAACCTTAACTTCCTAATCTCTTCTGAACACTTAGCCAAAGGTGGTTGTGACCACTCCCCAATCCTCCTCAAAATTACCAATGGTAATTTCAAGGGTCCTTTTCCCTTTAAATTCCTTAACTGTTGGACTGCTAGCCCTTCTTTCCTCACCCTAATTAAAGATAACTGGGAACCCTACAGGGGAGGGGGCATGAAAGGTTTAATGGACAAGCTGGTGAATATGAGGAAAATCATTCAAGCTTGGAACAAAAATACCTTTGGCAACATCCTCAAGAACAGAACCAAGCAGAAGGATATACTCAAACTAGCTGAAGAAATCTACAATGACAACCCAACTCATGACAGTAACACCAGGATGCAACAAGCCAGATCAGATCTTAATAAATGCCTAGCCACAGAATACTCCTACTGGAAGCAAAAATCCAATCTGAAATGGGTAAAGGAGGGGGACCTAAACACAAAGTTTTTCCAAGCCTTTGTAAAAAACAAAAGGAACTTCCAAAGGATTCAAAAAATCAAGAACACAGATAACAATTGGCTTACTGAGTGGGATGACATTGCTTCAGAGGCCACCTCTTTCTTCAGTACCCTCTTCACACATGAGGACACTGACCTTTGCCCAGATATCCTGAACAATATTCCCCTCATCCCGAACCCTAATGAAAACCTCTCCGTTTGCAGCCTCCCAACCATGGAAGAGGTTAAAACAGCAATCTGGGACCTTTGCCCAGACAGCTCTCCAGGGCCTGATGGTTTCACTGGCCATTTTTTTAGGGCAACCTGGGACAACATCAAAGAAGATTTGTGGAAAGCTTGCCAAGAATTTTTCTTAGGTATTCCCCCTCCCATCTGGAAAAGAATTTGCTCTATTCATGAAAAAGCATTTGCTCTATTCATGAAAAAGCCACTAACATTTTTTTTGTAGGAGAAGAAGACCAAGAAGCCTTTTTCAGAAATAGGCAGATTACCACCTTCAAAGAAGCTTACCTGGCAATCCAACCTGAGGAAGAGGAAGAGGATGCAGAACCACTCCAACATATCCAAATCAATTGGAACATGAAGCAAATTCCAAAAATCTCCTTCCTCCAGTGCCGTCTTCATCACAAACTGCTTCCTTTCCCTACACAATTGAGGAAATAATTTGGAATCACCTCATTGCCCTCCATATGCTATCTCTGCAAAAGGGATAGTGACACAGACTACCACACTCTCTTTCAATTCCCCTACGCTAAACCCATTTGGAGCTACTTCGAATGGATTTTCAAAATACTGTGGCAAGCAACACACGGTGTGAGAGCCTACCTTCACAAATGGTGGACAGAATACCAAAACCAAACTCTTGAAGGATGGCTCAAAGGAATCATACCTGGGATCATCTCTCACCAAATTTGGAGGGAAAGAAACCGGCGCATCCATGAAAACAGCAGCAAAGAATCGGGGAGACTACTTCAAGACTGTATTGCCCAAGTGCAGGACTGGGTTCTTGGAAGAGCCCCTTCCAAGATTAAGTCCTTCAGCGCCTGGAGACTCCCCTCTGAACTTATGTTTTCGCAACAAAGGAACCCCTCTCTTAAAATCCACAGATGGACCAACACTTCGGATAGCGGATTACACCTTTCCACAGATGTTGCAATCAATCAAAATTACGGGGTGGCAAGTGCAGTTCTACGCAGAGGGGATGGCACCTTCATTGCAGCGGGAACATGGAAGATTGAAGAAACAACTGCCTTACAAGGTGAAGCAAAAGCTTTAGCCATTGGAATGAAATGGGCTGAACACTTTGGGAGAAATATTTGGGGCAACACTGATTGCAAAAGTCTAGCCAAGTTAATTTCCAATTGCAAAAACCCGGGAGTCAATCACAAACTTTGGACAACTCTCCTCCACGCTTTTACACATCCACGTCAAAAGATCTCCTACATACCTCGAAAGGGAAATATGGGAGCCCATCATTTGGCCAAATGGGCCATCCAACATAATATTTTTACTCCTTGTATTTCTTTTTTAATTACTTCCCCACATGTTGAGGGAGCAATCACAGCTGATGTAACGCTTCCTTTCTTTCGCTAATCAATAAAAAGCTAGCTTCATTATGTTGAATATAAGTGAGCCCTAGATCCCAACTTATGATTCCATATCTATGTTATATCAAGAACAATAGGCCCTAAAGATTGTTTATGACAATGCGGACATCATAGTATATCAAGACTAATACGTATGAGATAAGATAGTTGCGTCTCATAGGCTATAGATAAATTGTTATATGAATCTATACGTAGGCAAACATATTGGATATATTGCTGGATTGACCCTCTATGAGAATAATATATGGGTTTAAGTTAAAGTGTTAATATTATTCTCATGCGACCATTAGTATAACTATCCTTCGACTTGAAGTCGTTACATTGTTTGGTAAGTTGAGTTGTATACTTTGAGGCTTGATTTATGCCATCTGAAATATTGGTGAATGTAGAGTTATGTTTTGGGTATGCAATGAAACTTAAGAGAAGATGTGAATGACGTAGATAGAATTTATCCCTTCTTTAATGAAGTATAATATCTTAGGGCCCACTGATTGATGTGACTTGGGAACTGCATGGTCATGCCCAAATAAATATGTTATTTGAATCCCACAAGTCAATCGAAGAATCAGTAGACCATTGATTTAACTCTAACAAGGTGACACACCTCATACCTTGTGTTAAATCAAGATATTAGTGATAAAGGGATAAGAGTTATACAAATACGATGTGTCGTTGAAGGAATTGTTCCAAGAGCTTTAATCTATAATTTGGGGGGTGATAATGTGTTTCTAGATATCGCTTATCACTTGTAGTATTTAATCGATACTATGGCCAATTTTATAGATGCCTAGAATAGAGTCATACACATAGACCATATGAAAGTGTAGAATATGTACGTGGAGTAAAGTTGCATTATATATATATCGTGTATATTATATTGTATGACAATATGATTAAATACACAAACATATATATAAATGAATATTTGGACATTTTAATTATGTGATAATTAAGTTTGTCAAATATATTTAGTAATAATAAAATACATATATATATTCGGATATATATATGAATAATAAATTGTTTATTATTTTAGTATTATTATTAAGGCACGAAATATATATTTATATATATTTAATATTTGGACATTTTAATTATATGATAATTAAGTTTGTCCAATATTATTTAAGGAACAAAACATAACATAATTATTATATATATATATATGTATGTATGTATGTATGTATGTATGCATGTATGTATGTATATATATGTATATATATGTGTTCGGCGTATATATGTGTGTGTTTCGTATATATGTATATATAATAAATGTTATATTATTTATTTTGAGTTAATTATATGATAATTAAAGTTGACAAAATAAATTGGAAGCTTCCTTTAAGAGTCATTTGAAATTTCCTAAGTAGAATAGGTACATTCCTATTAAGAATAGGAATGTGGATTATGCTCCTTATAAATAGGAGATCATCCCACCCCTTTTGACACTACTAGAATTTCGGCCCTAGCATAAATTTAAGAGAGAAAAATTTGTTTTGTTCTCTTAATACTTTACACCAAATATTTTATATTTTAGAAATATTCTAGAGTAAAATTACTAGCATAATTTTATCTAGACACTCTTCGTTGTTCGTGTGTCTCAACTGGAGGTCATATACTTTTGTGGCTAGCTCTTGGATCAATCCATCAACCTACACATATCATTGCTTGCTCGCCAAGAAAGGTATATTTCTAAACAATAACTTATAATAATCATAAGAGATCCTGGGTGGATCTACGTTTGGACCTAAAATTTTTATATTTTCTCTGCCCCATCCAAGCGTAGAACCCAACGGTGGTATCGGAGCCGACTTATGAGAATTATAAGTTTTGTAGATCTAATTGTCGTTAGGGTTTTTGATAATTGATAAAGTAAAATATATGTGTATATATTTTTCGAAAATTATCCAAAAATCAATAAAGTTCCAAAATATGATTCTGGACTTTATAAAATTCGAAAAATATGATTTTGGAATTAAATTTTGGATTTATTTTTATTTTCGGGTTAATCGGTTAAAAACTGTTTTAACCAATTAAAATATATCGAAAATTCGAAAATTAAATTTTATTAAATTTGAAACTTTCAAATATGATTTAAAGACCTCTTGAGACTTAAAATTATTTTTTGGAATTGATTTCCTAATTTATAAAGTATTGTTTGATTTGTAGTTAATTTGATTAATTACAAGATTAATACAAAATAAATTATGGAAAAATAATTTTAATCATTCTGAGACTTTAAAATATGATTTTAAGAGCTCTGGAAATTTAAAATTAATTTTCGGAATTTATTTTCTAATTTATGAGGTATTAGTTGATTTGTAGTTAATTTGATTAATTACAAGATAAATACAAAATAAATTATGAATAATTATTTTAATACTTCTGGAATGTTAAAATATGATTTTAGGTACTCTGGAAAATTAAAATAAATTTTCGGTTTTGAGTTTCTATTTTTCCCGATTTAAATAATCTTATTCGGTATTAATATAGATTAAATCGAAAAGGACAATTACAATTTGGGATTATAATTTTATGAACTTGAAAATAGGATTTTCAGACTGCATAAAATTTGTGAGAATTAAATTCGTAATTTAAGTATTTAATTATTAATTTTTGGGAAAAAGAGTTTTGGTAATTCGGTATTTAATTCCCGAAAATTAAATAATTAGTTTTAAATTATGGTACACGAAGATAATTTTAGAAATGGTTTTATGGATTACCAAATAATAAAATAAAAATTACCGAGAATAAATATAAGTAAAATCTGGAAAATTTTGTTTTCAGATCTACATGAGTCAAAAACTTTATTTTTGGAAAATATTGATTTTTTCAATATTTGGAATATTCTAAATTAATTTTGGAAATTAATTTAACTCCTTTTGGAAACAAATTACAAATACCGAAAATAAAATTTATTTAATTCTGGAAATTTGATTTTTAGAACAATTCGGACCCAAAGTAAATATTTTTGGAAAATATTAATTATTGGAATTTTGGAATTAATTTTTGGAAAATTGAAGTCTGATTTTGGGTATTTAAATAAAGAATTTCGAAAATAAATTTTATAATTCTGGAAATTTTATTTTCAGACTTATAAAATCAGAATACACATTCAGGAATTTATTTATTAATTTTCAAAAGGTAAAAGTATTTATTTCGAATTAAAATCCCAATTTCGAAATTAATACCTATATTTACGACAATTAACTATTTTAAAATTCAGGAAAATTCAAAATTAAATTTTGGATATTCTGGAGTTTTAAAATAAATTTAAATAAAATTATTTGATAATTTTTAGACTTGTAGTTTATTTTTCATTGAAATAAACTAGGCCTGGGGCAAGCGCGGCTTGCCCGGTGTATGGTTTTTATGCATGTTATGTAACACCCTAATCCGTCCAGGTCTGCAGCCCCTTTCAAATTAAAGTATTAACTTGGTAATCGTAAAAATTTAAAACATTTCAAACACTTTTATTTATCACAATAATATTTTTCATAATATAAACAGTACGGAGTTTTCAATATTACGGAAGCTTAACAAATCATAATACAAACATAATTTATTTATGTTCTTTAATTCAAAACCATCACATCCATTCCGACAATCTCGCCTCCGTCTGCCTCCAGGATCACGTCACTTCATTAACCTGCGTGTAGCAAATAAAACATACTACACGCTCAGCGTTGAAGCTGAGTAAGCATATCTAATGCATCGAACATCCATATAAACTGAATCTAAATTCATAATCAAATCATTTGATATCATGCACATAAT